ACCGGATTAGACTCGAGATGAATCAGTGGCATTGCTGGAGTCACAAGAGTTGCTAAACTTGCTTCATAGATTAATCGCCTGTGATTGTGCGTATGTGCAAATTAGGTGAGACGTTAGTAAAGCCTCTGCTTCTACTTGAATGTTAGACGCGTCTACCAAGTAGTGCCTCTACAAATGCATTCCGGGCAGCATTGCCAAGCAGAGTAGCATTTTAATCTGGAGATAGCAAAAAATTGCTACTCAAAATAGCTTTCCGAATAGATCATGGCTATTTGAAAGAATCGAACTCAATGTTTCTGATAATCTCAAAGTTAAACCAATTCATTTGAAGTTCTCTGCGAAAGCCGATAAGGTCCTTTGTCAGTCCGCAAACACAATTTTTATGCCATTGTGAGGGAGGAGGAAGTAGCAACACGAAAATACCGCTGGCATTTACCTCGACCTGCCTACGATGATAGCGTGACTGCAAGCATGCCTGTACGTGCACGAGGCATGGCGGGATCCTCGCACAACTTTCAAACAAGAGAAAGGGGAAGATTTTGTTGCAGTAAAGGTGGTGGGAATGGTGGAAATCGACACCAAGCACGTTGGTGCACTTCTGCAACTTGTGCATGACCTGTAACATGAAGAAAAGGTGGTGCTGAACTTCAGAGGTACACCTCAAGTCACCCATATCAGATTAATTGACCTAGCAAGAAATGCTGCTCTAAGGAGTACGCTTGCGCCTCAAGTAAAATTTGCCATTTACTTTCATTAACAAAAGAGCAACACCTACTGAGGCAAGTTAAAAGGTGCTGACTGCTGTAGTTGTGGTACTGTTTCACGAGGTAAACCGTAAAAGCAGTAGTCTAAGTCATTTTTGAAGCAATCGCGGGCACGAAATAAACGTGACTACACATAAAAGGGGAATAGGACAGAACAATGTGGTTGTCAGGACGGATGTTATTTTTATTTTGCTATGCTGAAGTTATTGCAGATAGGTCATCACAAGGAGTGGAGACCAGAAGGGGACAAAAATGTCTTCTAACCAGTTTGCGTGGCGGATCTGTGGTGCTATTTTTGACTAACCTTGGCTACAAGTACTGATCTGACAGCATTTAACTTGCACTTAAATTGCGACTGCCATGAGTTTGTAATTAAACGACCGAACGACTGATATCTACGCCGATTGTCAAAATGCAATTACTCCAAATTCCAACGTTTTGTCCTACAAAAGCCTCTGCACTGCCCATCGTTCACATCATCTTAATGTACGAATTTACTTGTATCAGTTTTGTTTGATTCTTTGTGGTCTCAACTCACATCGTAGTCGCGTCGTCGGAACACCATGCGAACAGCGCCTCCAGCCCCTCTGTAGGCAGATGTAAAGCTTTCTTCCACATGGCTATGGGATTGCAAGGAAGACAAAACGACTAATTTACGTATTCGACGGGAAATGAAGTATCCAAAGCGTCAGCAACTATTATGCCTTACGTGACGTTTCCGCGATAAGCCTTTGGATCGCCCCAAGTGCCTCGATTCGGGCGATCAGATCGGTAGCAAAAAAGCGACTGCAAACTCAGCCATCAAAAGCAGTCGAAGTTAAGCAGTGAACTTAACATAAGGCACACTTTAGCAATTTTACATGCATCAAGCTTTCGGCATTTTGCATCGAAATTGTAGTTCGTTCGCCACAAACATGGCACGAAGCCACACATCAAGCAGGCAGAAGCACAATTGAGTCACACATCTCAAAAGTAAATACACGCACCTTAAATCACTTACTTGATTGTGCGCAAAACTTATTATGAAGACGAAGAGATGAGAAAGGGTTCAATACAGTTTGCTATTTGTTTGTTTGTTTTTGGTTTTGATCGCTGGAAGAGGTGTCTCCGGGGCATGGCAGTGATACCGATCCTCTCTGTCGCCAAATATGCAAATTCTGCCTGATTGTCCTGTCTTCCCTTGCCTTCTGAGGCGGGGGAGAGCGAATCCTATGTTAAACATCTTCTATCCCCATTTATACAGTTTATGACAAAAGTTAGCTGCCGAAAGAAAGCTTATGTGGGAGAGAATAACGAGCCAAAAGGGAGTAGACCCATAATTCCATCCAATGAAACTGCATTAAGTTCTAACTCTCAGCATATAAACCTGTTTCCAATTCAATGTTCAAACGTCTGGCCACTAGACGCATTTGATGGGCAACGGACTTTCCCCATGTCCCCACCTGGGTCCATTTCCCAAACCCTTTGCAACGTCATGCGAATTGTCACTTCTAAGACATTTTGAAGAGGTTGTAGTCGTGTTTCTTTTCATTCAAGTAGATATCTGCCGATCATCCACCATTAATTATGTTGTGGTGGCTCAGTTGGAGGTGGTAAAAAGCAGAGAGTGGCTACACAATGAAATTTGTGATCCCCAATTTCGAATGGGGGATGAGGCACATTGGCCTCTAGGCTATGCTAGTATCTGCTAGTGTCTGCGCCATGTGTCACTCTTTGCCCTTACAAGAGTATCCTAACGTTAAAATTGTTTGGAAATCAAACCATACTTTAACATACATAGCATAATTTCATTAAAATCAGATAACGTTGCAAATAGGTGATCCTAATTTGCTATTCAGTAACTATAGTTATCTTGTGTATTCGGTTGGAGGCGGTGTTTTCCTGGGCAACAATTTCAACGAAACCATAAAGCTCTTTCAACTGTTGGACTTTCACAATTAAAAAAAAGAAACAAATCTGCAATCTGTCGTTGCAAAATTCTCTGGTTGATACGCGTTCAGCAGGAAAGGCATAATTCCTAAAAATGTTATGCATTTTTGACTCAAGAAAAAGGGTACAAGGGTTGTTAGGTTGGCACTACTGGAAGGGGGAGGTGGAAGTGGGAGAAATGGGAAACATCCAAATGGCGCCTCTACAAAGTGGGATTTAACAAAATAATCAAAGCATTACAAGCAGCAAAAAACCATGCAAATTAAATTGTGCTTCAAGGGCTCTAATTGCAACATTTCATTTACTTTATAATCAGTATGAATGGCGTACTTTTTAGAGTCTATTGTGCTTCTGCTGTGTAAGCTAGTCTTTAGGCTATGCCAAAGTCTAACTTCTACCATAGCTTTCAATACCCTCCCATTTGATAAAGAAAGGCATCAGGCTTGGTCAAGTATTTGCATTCAGATAAGAAGGGTTGAAGTGGACTTTTGGCATGATCCGATGAGAACCTCTACCCGCAGAAGCAAGGTGAACAAAAGTCTCCTCTAGTACGGGTAATGCTGTAATGCTTTGTTTATGCGAGTACCTGACGTTTGGCGGTGACTTTAGGATTTATCTGATTCTTGTACTTGTGGGCTGGCCCTCGGGCCATGCCCAAGCATATTTGTCCTGTCTTCTTCAGAATACATGTATTCAACCTCACTTATGCCTTCTTCCACCCTATGGGAAGCCTC